CTAACAATAATTAAATAATGTAACAATAGTCATATAATAATAGTCATAATTTAATAATGTAGTAGGAATAATGATAATGTAAGAATAGTAATAATGTAATAATATCATAATAACGTTAATAATAGTAATCATAATTGAGTAATGAAATAATAATAATGTAGTAATGTTAATGTTATGATAGTAATGCAATAGTAATAATAATTTTATAATGTAATAATAATAATGTAATAATTTTAATAATGTAATGATACTAATGTAATAATAGTAGTGCAATAATGGCAATAATAATGTAATACTAATACCAATTAAGACTTTAATTATTAATAATGTAATAATATTAATGAATATTGTTCTGCTCCCGTAATGGCTGGTGGGGGTGTGACCTACCGTGGTGGGGAGGCGGTGCTGGGGGGCATCCAGGGGGGCCGGCCCTCCCCCTTCAAGGGGGGCTTCGCCTCCTTGAGCCGGAAGGAGAGGGTGGGCTCCCGGAAGCTCTTCCTCTTGCAAGGGCCGCCCTGCAGGAAGGAGGAAGGAAGAGACGTGGCCTCAGGATGGAGGGATCCCCAAAGGGCATCTTCTCACCCCCTTCTGGCCAGGGAGGAAGGAGGGCACAATGCAATCTCTCCCAACAGATGGTCACCCAGCCTCAGTTCAGAGACTCCCCTGCAAGGGACCCCCAGAGGGCATCTAGTCTCACCCCTTTCAGCAGGAAGGATAGAAGGAGTGCACAATGTAATCCTTCCCAATAGATGGACATCCAGCCTCAATTTTGGAAAATTCTATAGAGAAGGAGACTCTACTGCAAGGGACCCCTAAAGGGCATCCACTCTGATCCCTTTCAGCAGGAAGGACGCAATGCAACCCCTCCCAACAGACAGCCATCCAGCCTCAGTTCAGAAAACTCTATAGAGAAAGAGGCTCCATTGGAAGGGACCCCCAAAGGGCATCCAGTGGAACCTCTTTCATCCAGGAAGGACACAGTGTAATCCCTCACAACAGATGGCCATTCAGTTTTAGTTTAAAAGCTTCCAGAGATGGAAACTCCGTTGGAAGGGTTCCCCAAAGGGCTTCTAGTCTGACCCCTTTCAGCAGGAAGGAAGGAAGGAGGACACAACTTAACCCCTCCCAACAGACAGCCATCCAGCCTCTTTTTAAAAACCCCCAGAGAGATTTAATCCCAGCGGAAGTGGAGAGCTGTGGCCGTTATAATTATAGTGTTATAGTGTTACTAGCCGTCCCCTGCTACACATTGCTGTGCCCCTGTCTGTGTATATATGTTTTTTGTGTGTGTATATTTGTATATGTGTGTATACATGTGTATGTATTTGTGTATTTCTGTGTTTATTTGTGTATATGCATATATGTGTGTATGTATGTGTCCCTGAGTCGCCTTTAGGGAGATGGTGGCAGGGTACAAATAAGGATTATTATTATTATTATTATTATTATTATTATTATTATTATTATATGTGTATATATATGTGTGTGTATGTATATATTTGTGTGTGCTTGCGTATATATAACGTCTGTATGCATGTGTATATGTATATGAATGAATGTATATATGGTTTATTTTGGGGGGTTTTAAAGTCTGTTCTTCTGGGTTTTTTGTTTGTTTTTAGGGGTGATGGTCACTTGTTGGCCTGAAATGATACTCCACTTGGGCAGAAAAAACGAAATAAAAAGATACAGAATGGGGGACTGCCTGGCTCGAGAGCAGTACGTGTGAAAAAGATCTTGGAGTCCTCGTGGACAACAAGTTAAACATGAGCCAACAATGTGATGTGGTGGCAAAAAAAGCCAATGGGATTTTGGCCTGAATCAATAGGAGCATAGTGTCTAGATCTAGGGAAGTAATGCTACCCCTCTATTCTGCTTGGTTAGACCACACCTGGAATATTGTGTCCAATTCTGGGCACCACAATTCAAGAGAGATATTGACAAGCTGGAATGTGTCCAGAGGAGGGCGACTAATTTATTTATTTATTTATTTACTTTGCTTATATACCGCTGTTCTCAGCCCGAAGGCGACTCACAGCGGTTTACACCCAATAAAAACAGCAATAATTCAATGCACATATAACAATTGACCACTTAACACATTATCCACTTAATAAACAACAAGCAATTACACTAAACAATTATTACAATAACCAACCTAATCGTCTCATCATCAAAGCGTAGGGTCTGGAGAACAAGCCCTATGAGGAGCGGCTTTAGGAGCTGGGCATGTTTAGCCTGAAGAAGAGAAGGCTGAGAGGAGATATTAGAGGAAGCCACAGGGAGGAGGGAGCAAGCTTGTTTTCTGCTTCCCTGGAGACTAGGACGCAATGGAGCAATGGCTTCAAACTACAAGAAAGGAGATTCCATCTGAACATGAGGAAGAACTTCCTGACTGTGAGAGCCGTTCAGCAGTGGAACTCTCTGCCCCAAAGTGTGGTGGAGACTCCTTCTTTGGAGGCTTTTAAACAGAGGCTGGATGGCCATCTGTCAGGGGTGCTTTGAATGCAATATTCCTGCTTCTTGGCAGAATGGGGTTGGACTGGATGGCCCAGGAGGTCTCTTCCAACTCTATGATTCTATGATTCTATGAAATGTGTATTGTGTCCAAATTTGGTGTCAATTCATCCAGTGGTTTTTGAGTTTTGTTAATCCCACAAACAAACATTAAATTTCTGATTTTAACTTTGAGATAACTTTGCTGATTCAGCAGGAGCAATCACCCCTTTTTAAAAAATGGATGCATTTCTAATTAGGATAAAAACAGAAACCTGTTGACAAGGCTGTTTGCGACGAAGTTCCGACCTATAATTTCCCCCCAAACCCCAGACGTGACGGCATGAAATTATACCCCTCGAGGGGGGGAATTGAGACAGCGGGCGGGCGAGCAAGCCACTCTCTACCTGCGGTCTGGACAGAAGAAGCGCCGAGCCCTTTGGACGAACGATGACAGGTCTTGCCTTGGGGGGCACCTTGGGAGGCGCCTTGGGGGGCTCCTCCGCCTCCGCCGCCCCTTCGCCCGACTCTGGAGGCTCACCTGAAGGCAAAGACCATGATGATTCCTACTACTACTATTATTACTATTACTATTTATTTATTTACGGCATTGTTATCCCACCCTCTCTCACCCCGAAAGGGACTCAGAGCGGCTTACAACTTATATACAATTTATCTATACACATGATAAAAGTGAAAATCTGTGTATGTGGCGGAGGTGTCCGCTTACACCAGTGTTTCTCAACCTTCCTAATGCCGCGACCCCTTAATACAGTTCCTCATGTTGTGTTGATCCCAACCATAACATTGTTTACGTTGCTCCTTCATGTTTGTGTATATATATATGGTTTGGCGAATGCCTACCCTTTTAAGTCTCTTCCTGTGTTTTCCAGTATTTTTATGAGTGATGGTCACTCGTTGGCCTGAGAGGTGTCTTGCGTCCAAATTGGTGTAAATTCGCCCAGTGGTTTTTGAGCTATGTTAATCCCACAAACGAACATTACATTTTTATTTATATAGATACTAGCTGTACTTGCCACGCTTTGCTGTGGCCAACCTTCCCTCCCTCTTTCTCTCCTTTTTTCCTACCCTACCTTCTCTCCCTCTTTCCTTCCCTCCCTCTTTTTCTTTCCCTTCTTCTTTCTTCCTTCTCTATCTGTTTCTTTCCTCGTTTCCTTTGCTCTTTGGTTTCATCCTTCCTTGTCTCTTTCCTTCCTTCCTTCCCTCCCTCTTTGGTTCCTTCTCTCCTTCTTTCCTCTTTCCCTTTTTATTTCCTTCTCTCCTTCCTTCCTTCCTTCTCTACCTTTCTCCTTCTTTCCTTTCTTCTCTCCTTTCTTCTTTCTCTACCCTTCTTTCCTTCCTTCTCTCCTTCCCTCCTCCTTTCTCTTCTCTCCCTCTTTCCCCCCTCCTTCTCTACTTCCTTCCTTCTCTACCCTTCTTTCTTTCCTTCCTTCTCTCCCTCCTTCTCTCCTTTCTTCTTTCTCTACCCTTCTTTCCTTCCTTCTCTCCTTCCCTCCTTCTTTCTCTCTCCCTCATTCTCTCCTTCCTTCTCTACCCTTTTTTCTTTCTTTCCCCTCCTTCTTTCCCTTTCTCTCCCTCCTTCTCTACTTCCTTCCTTCTCTACCCTTCTTTCTTTCCTTCCGTCTCTTCTTTCTTTTCTCTCCCTCTTTCTCTCCCTCCTTCTCTATTTACTTCCTTCTCTACCCTTCTTTCCTTCCTTCCTTCCTTCCTTCTCTCCTTCTTCTCTTCTTTTCCCTTCTTCTCTCCTTCTTCCTTCCTCTCCTTTCCTTCCTCTCTACTCTCCTTCCCTCCTTCTTTCTCTTCTCTCCCTCTTTCTCTCCCTCAGTGTTTTTAGGAGTGATGGTCACTCGTTGGCCTGAGAGGTGTCTTGTGTCCAAATTTGGTGTCAATTCACCCAGTGGTTTTTGAATTATCTTAATTCCACAAACGAACATTACATTTTTATTTATATAGATATATATACGCATACACACACCTGCAGTCCCCGAGTTACAAACATCTGACTTGCAAATGACTCCTAGTTAAGAACAGGACTGAGGCAACAGGAAGTGAGAGGAATTGTAAGGATTCGATATCTATAGAGCCCGCTTAGGGACAATGGATGCTCACCCGTCTCAGGCGGGTCACCCACAGGCAAGGGCCGCGAAGGGAGTCCCGGGGTCAAACTGGGAGGCAGCTTCCTGCTCACAGGCCGCTTCTGGACAGCCTTCTCCTTCCTGGGGCAGCGGAGGGAAGGACGGCCCTTGGGTGGGTGTCCGGCTGGAGGGGGGTCTGCCACCCTGACCCCAAGTGGGGCCTTCCTTGCCAGAAGGGAGTCCAAGTCCTGGGGAGAAGAAGCCGCGAGAGTCAAGACAAAGACCCACCCAGAGGAAAAGGGTTCTCACCAGACATCAAGGGAGACACTGGCTGCAGGGGGAAGCTGATGAGGAAACACAGCCTACAAACTATCTGCAGACCTACCAAGACAATCCAACAACTGCTCCGTTCAGCAAAGGACAAGAGGGACCCTCTCCCCTCTGCAGGAGTCTACCATCGCATACCATGCAGCTGTGGACAAGTCTCCAAAGGGACCACCAAACGTAAACACGAATCAAGGAACATGAAAGGCACTCCAGACTGATTCAACCAGAGAAGTCAGCCATAGCAATGCACCTGAGGAACCAACCTGGACACAACACAGAAATGCTGGACCACTCTCACAACCACCACATCAGGCAACACAGAGAAGCCCTTGAGATCCACAAGAAGCATGAGGACAATGTCAACAGAAAGGAAGAAACTATGAAAATGAACACAATCTGTCTACCAGTATTAAAAAAAACTCTAAACTCAGGATAGTAAATAAAAAGGAACATTCAGAAAACAGGGGAACTCCAGACAAGAAACAATCTGGGACAGCTAATCACCTCCCGACAAAGGATTCCCCCAGGCTGTAAGAAGCCAGATCTTGAAACTGCTAGGCCATTCAATGCTAATTAAAGTGGTCCACTGCAACGTTCACACTTGCCTCAAACAGACAAGAGTTCTTTCTTCCACCGTGGACTTTCCACAGATATATAAAACCCATTTTCCTCATTTCCAACAGACCTCACAACTTCTGAGGATGCCTGCCATAGATGTGAGTGAAATGTCAGGAGAAAATGCTTCTGGAACATGGCTGGAAAACATGGCTGAAAATTGATTTTGTCATTTGGGAGTTGTAGTTGCTGGGATTTATAGTTCACCTACAATCAAAGAGCATTCTGAACTCCACCAACGATGGAATTGAACCAAATTTGCCACACAGAACCCCCATGACAGAAAATACTGGAAGGATTTGGTGGGCAGTGTCCTTTGGTTTTGGAGTTGTAGTTCACCTACATCCAGAGATCACTGTGGACTCAAACAATGATGGATCTGGGCCAAACTTGACAGGAATACTCAATATGCCAAAATGTAAACACATATGGAGTTTGGGGGAAATAGACCTTGACATTTAGGAGTTGTAATTACTAGGATGTATAGTTCACCTACAATCAAAGATCTGAGCCCCACCAATCATGGAATTGGGCCAAACATCCCACACAGAACCCCCATGACCAACAGAAAATACTGTATTTTCTGGTGGTCTTGGGTGACTCTTCTGACACCCCACTGATGACCCCCCACCCCCACCCCCCGGGGTCTTGACTTCCCAGGTTCAGAAATGCCGCCTTAAGGCCATCCAGTCCAACTCCCTTCACCAGGGCAAGAAAACATAATCAAAGCCCTACTGACAAAGGGCCATCCAACCATTCACACATGCACATATATGTATATGATTCTAAGGGGTCCCCAATGGCCACCCAGTTCAATCCCATATGTAAAGGAAGACCACCCCAAGTCCCCTCTGTGGCGCTCACCTCGATCTGCAGCATGAGGTCCAGGAGGGCGTCTGGTGGGGAAGAGGTGGAAGAGGGTCCCTGGACCTCCATTTGGACGGAGCAGAGGGAGAGCTGGCGGAGGAGCTGCCCCAGTTCCCGGCAGTGGGCCCAGCGCAGGCCCAGACGATGATCCTCCTCCTCCTCCTCATCCTCTGGCTGAGCGAGGGTCCAGTGGGAGAGCCAGGCCTGCAGGGCTCGAGATGCCCCCCGGTGTGCGGCCGCCAGCCTGGCCATGGCCCTGGACTGCATCGCAAAGGCAAGCGGGAAGAGTCAACTCCCACAATTCCCTAACAGCCTCAAGAATTCCCAATAATGGATATATAATAAGAACGATAGCAATAAATAATAACAATAATAATATAATTAGAAATATAATAATTGCAATATAATAATACCAGTACTCAGGATGGTCACGTAATGAAATATATAATACAAAATAATAATAAGAAATAAATAATATAGTAATAATAATATAATTATGACTATATATTAATAATACTAGCACTCATGATGGTCAAGTCCTGAGATATGTAATAGAAAATGATAATGAACATATAATATGAAATATAACAACAACAACAACAACAACAACAACAATAAGATGAATATAATAATAATAATACTGGCACTCATAATGGTCAAGCCCTGAGATTTATCTATTTAATAAATATAACAAGAAATATAATAATAATAATAATAATAATATATAAGAATATATAACATATAATAATAATAATAATGATAATAATAATAATAATAATAATAATAATCTTTATTTGTACCCTGCCACCATCTCCCCAACGGGAGCAGCTAATATGGGGCCAGGCCCGAACAACAATTACAATAAAGAAAAACCAAAACACAACCGAAAACACAAACAATAAACAACATCATACTTACATAAAACATATGAATACATAACAATATAAGAATTACAATAAACACATGTACAGAAACAATGGGCGGGCTGCATGTAATTATTAAAAAACAAACAAAATGATAATAGAATAAATAAATAAATAAATAAATAATAATAATGGCACTCATGACAGTCAAGCCCTGAGATATATCATATAATAATATGCATTAAGAAATATAATAATATAATTATGAACATATAATAATACTCATAATAGTCAAGTCCATTTCTAAGCCGAAGAGCCGGCGTTGTCCGTAGACATCTCCAAGGTCATGTGGCCGGCATGACTGCATGGAGCGCCATTACCTTCCCGCCGGAGCAGTACCTATTGATCTACTCACATTTGCATGTTTTTGAACTGCTAGGTTGGCAGAAGCTAGGGCTGACAGCGGAAGCTCACGCCGCTCCCCGGAATCGAAAATAATATGAATATGACAATATAATAATAATAATAATAATAATAATAATAATAATAATAATGGCCAAGTCCTGGGATATATAATAAATACTGGACTAATATTATACATATAATAATAATATAGATAATGTGGTTCACAAAGGCCAACATCCACCATTGAAACCCTCTTTGCCCCCGGTCAGCTTTGACCTCTCACCTTCTTGGTGTGACGCACCTGATGGGGACCCAGCTTCTCCAGGTCATCCTGGATCTCTTTCACCTGTTGACACCACAGGGAAATCAAGAAGAGCATTAGAAGAGGAGGGAGAGGAGGGTGGGATGGATGGATAGATAGATAGAGACACTTCTTTCCTTCCCTTCTTTCTTTTATTTCTTTTTCTTTCCTTCCTTTTCTTACCTTTCCTTCCTTCTTTTCCTTTCTTTCTTCCTTCCTTCCTTCCTTCCTTCCTTCCTTCCTTCCTTCCTTCCTTCCTTCCTTCCTTCCCTCCTTTCCCTTCTTTTCCTTTCGTTCTTACTCTCCTTCCCTTTTCCTTCTTCCTTATCTTTCTTTCCTTCCATTCTTCATTCTTCTTTCCTTTCTTTCTTCCTTTCCTTCCTTTTTGCTTTCTTCTTCTTTCCTTCCTTCCCTTCTCTTTCTTTTTCTTCCTTTCCTTATTTCCCTTCTTTTTCTTTCCTTCCTTTTCTTCTTTCCTTTCTTTACCTTCCCTTCCCTTGCTTCCCTTGTTCCTTTCCTTCCTTCCTTTCCCTCCTTCTTGCTTCCTTTTTCTTCCTTCCTTTCCTTACCTTCCTTCTTCTCTTTCTTTCTGGCTTTTCTTCCTTTCCTTCCATCTTCCCCCCCTCTCCCTTTCCTTTCACCTTTCTTCTTTTCCTTTCTTGCTTTTTTCTTCCTTTCCTTCTTTCTTTCCCCCTCTCTCTCCCTTCCCTTCCTTCCCTTCTTTTTTTCTTTTCTTCCTTCCCTACCTTCTTTCCCTCTCTCTCTTTCCTTCCTTCCTTTCCTTTCTTTCCCTACTTTCTTTTTCTTCCTTTCCTTTCTTTTTCTCCCTGCCTTTCCTTCGTTCTTGCTTTTTCTTCTTCCTTCCCTTCCTTCCTTTCCTCCCTTCTTTTCCTCTCCCTTTCCTTCCTTCCTTTCCTTGTCTTCTTTCTCTTCTTCCCTTTTCCTTCCCTCCTTCTTCCCATTTCCTTTCTCTCTTTCCTTCCATCTGTTTTTTCTTTCCTTTCTTTTCCTTTCTTTCCTTTAGATAGATAGATGTTGCCTTGGGGTCCCAACTCTAGGATGGATAAATGCTGTATTTCTTCCATTGTAAGATGCACTTTCTTCCTGATATAAACACCTCTGAACATGGGGTTCATCTTAGAATTGCAGGAGTATCTTAATGTCCTTTTGTTGTTCTTGGCACTGGAAGTCTTGCATCTTGCAAGAGAAGAAATACGGCAAAAAGCCCTGACGTTTCCTGCTGAGAAGAGGGGGCATCTCTGGGGCTTCTGCAGCAGGATCCCAACCCAGAACCCATAGCAACGCATGGAGCCAGTGCGGACCTGTTGTCGGAGCACATACAGAGTGCGGGCGGATCGAGCAGCCTGCTCTTGGCCCCAGATCCGGGCCCGGCGCCGCTCCTCAGGATCCAAGGACGTCTGGCTCCTTTCTGCAAAACAGGCAAGGAATGGGATCATACTACTTTGTCATACCATTGGGAAAATGTTCTGTTCCTGGTTTGAAAGTGTCATTTCCTGTTCAATCATGACTTTGAAAGTTGTCGTTCTATCCTAGGAACTTTGTTTTTGTTGGACTTGGATTGTGTTGTATATCAGCCTCTTCAACCTGTTGATGTTCCTGATGGGAATGGGAATAGTGTTTCTGAAGATGGGCCTGTGGATGATAGTTTGATTGGGCATGAATTAAGTTCAGGCCTGAGCTGTCTCAGGAAGATTCCCAAGGCCACATTCCTAGGAGAGACCTTATTTATTATTTATTTATTATTTATTTACGACATGTATATGCTGTCCTTCTCACCCCGAAGAGCGCCTTACAAGATATATTTTCATACAATATATTATATTATTAGCATAGTACAATATAAGTATATATTACTATATTGCACTATACCATTATATCATAATATTATTAGTATTTTCTCAGAGCAACTGTCTGAAAATTGGAGAGTTGTAGTTCACCAACATCCAGAGCACTGTGAACCAAAACACTTGGCACACAGACCTGATATGCTGAAATTTGATGACATTTGAGCCTTGCGTACGGGCCCCCGTGCCATGTGGATACCAGGCTTCCACACAAGGTCGGGTCCCCCCAGTATCTGCATATTAAGCATTGGAAGTCCATGAATGTCATTTGATGACTGGAGGGGTTTGGGGAGAACTGATATTTCCGTTTTGGGAGTTGTAGTTCACCCACAACCAGAGAAACTGTGACCTCCACCAATGATGGATCTGGACCAAACTTAGCACACAGAACCCATGAACAACTCAACCTACTGGAGGGGTTTGAGAGGACTGATTCACCATCGTGGGAGTTGTAGTTTGCCCTGCACACTGAACACTACCGATGATGCGTCTGGAGCAAACTTACCCAAAGTAATAAACTTGAAGTACTGATGGAATTTCAGGGGGTTAATGATGGGAGTTGTAGTTCATCCACAAACTTACGATTTGGTACATCTAAAAAATTGACTTTTTCAAATAACCCAAGACCCAAGATAGCAATATAATATAATGTGATGCAAGATTATGTCTATGATTATGTTGAATTGGTGGGGACTCAATGATGAGATTGATTCATTGGAAAACTAGAGCAAAATGTGCAATATCAGGACGTCCCTCCTGCCGAAACAAAGTTTGTGCAGCGTAATAAACTTTCCCCACAACCTCTAGATATAGGCAGAACGTCAGGAGAGAATGCTACTAGAACATGGTCATATAGCCTGAAAAACCTACAAAAAATTTCCCCAATTTTTTTTATAATAGAACCAATTAGGAAATGACATTGATAACCCAGGAACAACCATCATAATGTGACATAGTGTGATGATGATGAGGATGATGCTGACTCCTCACCCTTTTGGGCCAGCGCTTCCACTTTCCGGATGTATCCCTGCAGCTCCTTTTGCAGCCGCCGGACCTCCTGGGCGCTTCTCTCCTCCTCATCTTTCTCCTTCTTCGCCTCGGCCTTTGTGGCAAATGGGACCAGTCCCGGGTCTCGCGTTGGAGGCGAATCGGGCAGCAAAGGCTCTGCTTTCACACAAGTCGGTTTGGAGATGTAAACCTGTTGGGAGAACCAACAACCTCTCAAACGCTTCTCCTTGTCTGTTATGACCCCTCCAGTCCCATCTGTATATGGGCCAGGCCTGTGCCAACTTCGGCTCTCCAGGTGTTTCGAACTACATCTCCCACAATTCCCAATAGCCGGTATGTTAATATTATAATTATTATATTTTATTATTGTTTTATTATACTATTAATTTTTTATTATAACTTCATATTATTACTGTATATACTCAAGTATAAACCTAGTTTTTCAGTCCTTTTTTTAGGCTGAAAAAGTCTCCCCCCGGCTTATACTCGAGTCAAGGTTATTTATTATTTTGCTTTGTTGTTGTTATTATTATTTTTGACTCAGGGCAGCCTAACAAAAGCATCATAAGATGCTAGCATCATAAAAACAACCACATTTCAATCAAAATATTAAAAAATTAAAACAACAATTAAAGCAATTAATTATAATTACAAATATAATCAGTATTAAATATTACTATATTGTACTATACCATTATACTGTAATATTATTACATGTAATATAAGTATATAGTTATAATACCATATTAATATTATTAGTATTATATTGTATTACATTATAATATTATTAATATTATATGTATATACAATGTATTATATTATATTATTATAATAGCTTTAGACCTACGCATAAATTAACTCCATTAACCCCAACCAAGATTTGAGTCAAACCTTTGCCCCGGTGTCGGTGGTCTCCCTCTGGGACCTGCTGGATGCCCTCACGGGGCCCGCTTTTCCCAGTGCCTTGCTTCTGGGGCGCCCAGAAAGGCCTGCCTCTTCTTCTTCTGGCTTCGGACGCCGCTTCAGGTCCCGCCTGGCCAGGCGCACGGCCTGCCGGAGGGTCTCTTCGGACACAGCAGAGAAGGACAAGGGGGCCGGACCCCCACTGTCCCCCCCGCAAAGGGTCGCCTCCTCTGGGGGCTTCTTCAGCTTCTCAATGACAATCGGAAGGGGGCTGGCAAAGCGGGCAGACAGGTTCTCTGCAACGGAAGGGGCTTTCAGGCTGAACTGCAGCTGCAAAGGAAACAGGAAACAAAGGATAGATTTGCAGGCATGGTCCTACTTTGGCCCTCCCTCCAACCTAAGCACTATATTGTTAATATTCATCATAATAATAATCTTCTATACCTATATATCTATCAATACATATATCTTCTCTATACACATAATAAAATGATAATCTATATCTATATATGTAGGCAGGCTGTGTATGTATGTGGCAGCTTTCTGATTGGCTGTCACTTTCAATGGATACTGCGACCATGAATGACGGACATGAACCAAACTGCAACCCACACCAATGACTGATCAAGGCCACACTTGGCACACAGAGCCCCCATGACCCACTTTACATCCTGGTGCGGTTTGGCGGAAGTTATACCATGGATGATGGGTCTTGCAGTATCTTCACTCACTTCCTGAGACCACTGCGACCCCCCACCAATGACGGATTATGACAAAACTTGGCATACAGAGCACCCATGACACACATTATGTCCTGGTGTGGTTTGGGGGATGATGAACCATGGATGATGGGATTTGAAGTAGCTTTGCTCACTTCCTGAGATTACTGCAACCCACACCAATAACTGATCAAGACCAAACTTGGCATATAGAGCCCCCAGGATCCACGATGCACCCTGGTGCAGTTTGGAAGAGGCTGAACAATGGGACTTGCATATATATACTGTATTGCCATATTAATAATATATATTCTAAGTACTAACCGAAAATATAATATATTGTATTGCCATATTTATAATATATATTGTAAATACTAACAGAATATATAATATATTACATTGCCATATTAATAATATATATTGTATTGCTATACTGATAATATATATTGCAAGCACAAACCGAATATATAATATATTACATTGCCATATTAATAATATATATTGTAAGCATTAACCGAATATATAATAATTATATTGCCACACTGATGATAATATATATTGTAAGTACTAAAAGAATATATAATATATTACATTGCCATATTAATAATATATATTGTAAGCATTAACCGAATATATAATAATTATATTGCCACACTGATGATAATATATATTGTAAGTACTAAAAGAATATATAATATATTACATTGCCATATTAATAATATATATTGTAAGCATTAACCGAATATATAATAATTATATTGCCACACTGATGATAATATATATTGTAAGTACTAAAAGAATATATAATATATTACATTACTGATAATATATATTGTAAGCACTAACCGAATATATATTATATTGCTATACTGATATATATTGTAAGTGCTGACAGAATATATAATATATTGTATTGCCATATTAATAATCAAGGTGAAAGAAGAAAGCGCAAAAGCTGGGTTGCAGCTAAACATAAAAAAAACCAAGATTATGGCAACAGGAATGATTGACAACTGGGAAATAGAGGGAGAAAATGTGGAGGCCGTGACAGACTTTGTATTTCTAGGTGCAAAGATTACTACAGATGCAGACTGTGGCCAGGAAGTCAGAAGACGCTTCCTTCTTGGGAGGAGAGCAATGTCCAGTCTCGATAAAATAGTAAAGAGTAGAGACATCAGACTGGCAACCAAGATCCATTGCCTAGTCAAAGCCATGGTCTTCCCTGTAGTCACCTACGGATGTGAGAGCTGGACCTTCGGGAAGGCTGAGCGAAGGAAGAGAGATGCTTTTGAGCTGTGGTGTTGGAGGAAAGTGCTGAGAGTGCCTTGGACTGCGAGAAGATCCAACCAGTCCATCCTCCAGGAAATAAAGCCCAGCTGCTCACTGGAGGGAAGGATACTCGAGACAAAGTTGAAGTCCTTTGGCCACATCATGAGGAGACAGCAAAGCCTAGAGAAGGGAATGATGCTGGGGAAAGTGGAAGGCAAAAGGAAGAGGGGCCGACCAAGGGCAAGATGGATGGATGGCATCCTTGAAGTGACTGGACTGACCTTGAAGGAGCTGGGGGTGGTGACGGCCGACAGGGAGCTGTGGCATGGGCTGGTCCATGAGGTCACGAAGAGTCGGAGACGACTGAACGAATGAACAATTGTAAGTACTAACTGAATATATATTGTATTGCCATATTAATAATATATATTGTAAGCATTAACTGAATATATATTATATTGCTGTATTGATAATATACATTGTAAGCATTAACCAAATATATAATATATTATATTGCCACACTGATAATATATATTGTAAGTACAAACCGAATATATAATATAATGCATTGCCATATTAATATATATTGTAAGTACTAACCGAATACATGATATATTGTATTGCCATATTAATAATATATATTGTAAGCACTAACTGAATATATAATATACTGTATTGCCATATTAATAATACATATTGAAAGTACTAACAGAATATATAATATATTGCATTGCCATATTAATAAATCCTGTCTCGTGTCCCAACCAGACCTGTTGCTGGGAGGCGGCCTTCCTTGGGGGCTCCATGGGGAGCAGCAGCCCTCCCGCCATGTTCCCCCCACAGAGGGCGGGAAGGAAGCGGAAGGGCCTGCCTGGCAACGCCGCGTCGCTAAGGACGCTGCTTTTTGTCCCTGCGAAGCCGCCGTCTGCTTCTTTCCTCCCTTCAGCGGTTAGCGTGGCTTCCTGCCTTAGAGGTGGGCGTGGTTTCCTTCCTTACTTCGGCGGTGGGCGGGGCCTTTGGGTCCCTAGGCGGACACCTCCTCCTCGCTTCTTGCCTGACAGGTGGGCGTGGCCTTATGCCATCCTTTCTTCGGCGGTAGGCGTGGCCTGTCATCCTTTCTCTAGCAGTGGGCGTGGCCTCCGTTCATAGCGGTGGGCGTGTCTTCCTGCTCTCTGTTCTCTAGCAGTGGGCGCGGACTGTATTCCTTTCTTTTAAAAGTGGGCGTGGTCTCATTAACGGTGGGCGTGTCTTCCTGCCAATCTTTCTCTAGCAATGGGCGTGGCCTGTATTCCTTTCTATTTAGAGTGGGCGTGGTCTCATTGGCGGTGGGCGTGTCTTCGGGGCAGCCTTTCTCTAACAGTGGGCGCGGCCTGTATTCCTTTCTTTAAAGAGTGGGCGTAGTTTCGGTAGCGATGGGCGTGTCTTCCTGACACCCTTTCTCTAGCAATGGGCGTGGCCGGTATTCCTTTCTTTCCGAGTGGGCGTGGTCTTATTAGCGGTGGGCGTGTCTTCCTGTCATCCTTTCTTTGGCATTGGGCGTGGCCTATATTCCCCCTTTTTCGGAGCGGGCGTGGTCTCGCTAGCGATGGGCGTGTCTTCCTGACATCCTTTCTTCGGAGATGGGCGTGGCCTATCTTCCTTAGCAGTGATGGGCGTGTCTTAAGCTGGGGGCGTGGCCTTTTGTCCCCACTCGGCCGCCCTCTTCATGTTTCTTGCTTTAGCGGTGGGCGTGGCTTCCTCTTGTACAGGTGGGCGTGTCTTCCTGCCTTCAGTCTTTGAGCGGTGGGCGTGGCATGTCATCCCTCAGCAGCCGCCGTTTCGTGCCTCATAAGTGGGCGTGGCCTCTTGCTTTCCACTCGCAGAGGGCGTGGCTTAACTTCTTTTCGCGGTGGGCGTGTCTTCCTTTCTCTAGCGGTGGGCGTGGCCTCCTGCTCTCCACTCTCGGGGGCGTGGCTTAACTTTTGCAAGCTGTGGGCGTGGCCTCCTTATCGCAGGTGGGCGTGGCCTTCCTTCCTTTAGCGATAGGTGTGGCCTTTTTGTCTCCGCGCGGCCACCGTCGCCGCCTTCTTTCCCTTTCCTTCCTTCCGCCATGGGCTTCGAGGAGTTCTCCGTGCGGGGCTTCGAGGAGTTCGAGCGCGTGTCCCGGGAGCAAGAGAAGAAGCGCGGGAAAGGCCTGCTCTTCGTCTACTTCAGCGGCGACAAGGACCCGGACACGGGGACCAGCTGGTGCCCGGACTGCGTACGAGGTACGGCGCAGCGCGGGGCCTCCTGGGAAATGGAGTCCAGAGGGGCGCTGCGTCCCCTGACTCCCAATGGGGGCGCCTGCCTGCTGGACTTCAACCCCCAGCATGCCTCAGCTCTTTTTTCCCCTCTCCTCCTTCTCTCTTTGCAGCGGAGCCCATCGTGCGGGCGCAACTGACCCACCTTCCCGACGGCGCCGCCTTCATCTACTGCCAAGTGGGGCCCCGAGACTAGTGAGTCAGCCCGCGGACTACATCCCCCAGAAGACCCGCGCACCCACCCGCACAGCAGAGGCTTCTGGGAGTTGGAGTCCAAAGCCTCTAAAAGACTCTGCTGACCCGGAAGCCACAATTCCCCATAAAGAATACATAAGAAATACAACAGTAATAATAATACAATGAATATATAATAAACATATTAAATACAATAACAAAATAATGAATATATAATAAAATAATGGAAATATAATAAGAAATATAATAATAAAATGAAGATATTATAAGAAATATAATAAAATAATGAATATATAATAAAATAATGGAAATATAATAAGAAATATAGTAATAATAAAATAATGAAGATATTATAAGAAATATGATAAAATAATGAAGATATAATAAATATAGCAATAATAATATATAAAAATATAATAATAATGAAATATAGTAAGAAATATAGCAATAATAAAATAATGAATAACAAAGATAATATAATGAATATATAATATAATAATATAATAAAGAGAAATATAAGAAATAATGAGTATATAATAATGGAAATACATTAGGAAATATAGTCATAATAAAATAATGAAGATATAAGAAATATTATAAAATGATGAATATATAACAAATATAGCAATTATATATATATATAATGAAATACAGTAAGAAATATAGCAATAATAAAATACTGAATAAGAAAGATAATATAATGAATATATAATATAATAATAATAAATAGAAATATAAGAAATAAGGAATATATAATAAAACAATGGAAATATATTAAGAAATATAGTCATAATAAAATAATGAATATATTATAAGAAATATAATAAAATAATGTAGATATAAGAAATGTAGCAATAATACAAATATATATTAAATATAATAATGATGAAATATAGTAAGAAATATAGCGATAATAAAATACTGAATAAGAAAGATAATAAAATGAATATATAATATAATAATAGAATAAAGAGAAATATAAGAAATATAAAATAATGAATATATAAGAACTATGGCAATAATAATATATATATATAAAATATAATAATGAAATATAGTAAGAAATATAGCGATAATAAAATAATGAATAAGAAAGATAATAAAATGAATATATAATATAATAAAGAGAAATATAAGAAATAATGAGTATATAATAATGGAAATATATTAAGAAATATAGTCATAATAAAATAATGAAGTTATAAGAAATATAATAAAATAATGTAGATATAAGAAATATAGCAATTATATATATATAATGAAATATAGTAAGAAATATAGCGATAATAAAATACTGAATAAGAAAGATAATATAATGTATATATAACAATAATAAATAGAAATATAAGAAATAATGAGTATATAATAATGGAAATACATTAGGAAATATAGTCATAATAAAATAATGAATATATTATAAGAAATATAATAAAATGATGAATATATAACAAATATAGCAATTATATATATATATATATATAATGAAATATAGTAAGAAATATAGCGATAATAAAATACTGAATAAGAAAGATAATATAATGAATATATAACATAATAATAAAGAGAAATATAAGAAATAATGAATATATAATAAAACTGGAAATATATTAAGAAATATAGTCATAACAGAATAATGAAGATATAAGACATATAAAATAATGAATATATAAGAACTATGGCAATAATAATAATATTCATTAAATATAATAATGAAATATAGTAAGAAATATAGAGATAATAAAATAGAATCATAGAATCAAAGAGTTGGAAGAGACCTCATGGGCCATCCAGTCAACCCCCTGCCAAGAAGAAGGAATATTGCATTCAAAGCACCCCTGACAGATGGCCATCCAGCCTCTGTTTAAAAGCTTCCAAAGAAGGAGACTCCACCACACTCCGGGGCAGAGAGTTCCACTGCTGAACGGCTCTCACAGTCAGGATACTGAATAAGAAAATACTGAATAAGAAAGATAATATAATGAATATATAATATAATAATAATAAAGAGAAATATAAGAAATAATGAGTATATAATAATGGAAATATATTAAGAAATATAGCCATAATAAAATAATGAATATATTATAAGAACTATAATAAAATAATGAATATATAAGAAATATAGCAATAATAATGTATATATTAAATATAATAATAATGAAATATAGTAAAGAATATAGCGATAATAAAATAATGAATAAGAAAGATAATATAATGAATATATAATATAAT